TTATCGGGAGTCAACTGTAATTTAATCCTCGATCCACGATCCCAGATCCCTGATTCGCCATCCTCCTTTCCCAGTAAACCTGAAACTGGCTGCCTTTTGTTCCTGTGTAGACATGTCTGAAACTTATGTAAGTTGCTTGTTTGGTGGTCACTCAAGTAAATCATTGCACTGTGCCATATGCCCAAATGCCCAACGCTCAGTTACCAATGACCAATTACCATAGCAACTTTTTTTGATTTAGCTGTGTTCAAAAAGTCTAAAACGTTTCAATTGTTTTTTTGTTTTTTTGTTTGTTTGTTTGTTTTTTTTTCGTTATCATTTACATATTTGTAGCTGCCAAATTTTAATATTTGTTGGACTCTTTTTTTTCAATACGTACTATTTATTTTTCATTTCACATCTATCAAAAAAGTCACAAAACAATAAAGTCACGCGTAGCCTGCCCGCACAGTCCCGACAAAGGAAAAACGGAGGGAAGCCGAAGGGTGCGGCTACACGTAGGCTAAGTCACGCGTCATGCAACCCCCTCCGCGTCGATCTGTTCTGCACAGTATAGTCTGCGAGTAGTCTCTTATTTTTCGTTGCAAAGTTACTGCACGAAAAACCCAAGCAGATGGAAAGAACCTAAATAATGTTTTGGGTTTTTTTAACGATTTAATTCGAGAGAAAAATGACGGTAACAAATTGTATTTGTGCTGTGTCCTTTAATACTGTTCGCTCAGTGTTCGTTTCTTGAGCCATTGCGCCAGTTTTTAACACAGGGGGGCCACACAAACTGTGTGACCGTTGGTTTGTTCGAATTGAGAGGAAATGTATGTCAAATCTAGGCGGCCGATGTCGGATGACCGAAAATTTCGTAATATACCACAGGTGGCCCAAAGTCATGTTGGGAGCAAAGACAGCCTCCCTCGCAGAGCTTCTTAGGGCTTCGTCACGCGTTTCTGTCTACTATAAAAGACTGGCATGGATGGCATATTTAATTTACAGTCCATCCATTTCCCACATTTGCCCAAATTGCTATCCAACAGTATTTCTGAAGCTTGTCGATTCTTGCATTATTCAGCTTGCCCCTCCTTCCCAGGCCTTGGTTTTCGCCCTTCAAATTACGAGGTGCTGAACCCAACTCTTTGCTGCACATGACCGGTACACTCTTTCCTTTGAACTGACACACCCTCCACCCTGCTTAAGCTTTTGCTGTCTCCTTCTCCATAATATATACTCTGTATTCTGCAGGTTACCGTTCCAGACTAGGACCTTAGGCGTACTCTCTTCCCCCATCGTCTCCGGAAAGTCTGGGAAAGGGTGGGCGAGTCTCTTTTGGTGACGTCACAACTCATCGTAGAGTCCAGGATTGAGCGAGCCGAGAACGCCTAGGGAATGGTTTGATACAGTTCCACAGATTGCCTCACGATACGGTCAACACCTTCAGGTTCCATGGTAAGAGCAGAACCGGGCTTACCATTTGCTTTGTACATGTTGTGGCCTGCTCTCCCAACCTCGTCCCCAGGGCTTTTTCCGCCCCACCCATTTTTTGAGGGAAAAGCCCTGGGGACGAGGTTGCTGCTCTCCATCTCTGATATTCCTCGCTCTTTTTGTCAGTAGATGTTGATGCAGCTTACAATGCTTTGGTAACATGTCTGGCTAAGGGCGTATTCGATTGACAGTATTCCAGAATAAGAATAATGGAATTAACTCTAGAAATAAATTGTTTTGGCCTTTCGTTGCATTCGCTATTTTCACATAGACCATAATGCACCGTGTTTACCCCCTAACATTTTGCATAACTATTGTTTCCAATTTCTTCTGGGTATTACAGTCGTCCCAAGAGAAATCAAAGACAATGGTTCTGCAAAATTTTAAGGGGTAAACACGATGCATTACGGTCTATGTGAAAGTGGTGAATTGCAATGTCTAGAAACTCGGGCCTAGAATAGAATAGAATAGAAACTTTATTAAAGTGTCAAAAACCGTCTAGCCAGGGAACAAATCCCTTACTAATTTGGGGACACCAATTAGGGGAGAATATGCAAACTAAAAACTATATACAGTAGTAGGTAAAATATCTATAGTTAACTAATTAAGAGATTTATAGTAAAAATACACAGAAGTCAAAATGAACAAAGGCTACAGCCTGCGCAGCCATCATCTAAAAGTTCACTTATATTGAGTTGGCGTATCTTGCTTTTAAACGACGTTAGGGTTGCGACGTCCCTGATACTCTTGGGTAGTTTTGTCCATAGCCTAGGCCCTAAATATCTAATAGAGTGCTTGCCATAGGTGACTGTCTCATACCTAGGTATAGAGAAATCTGCTTGCCGCAGATTGTAATTACTATTTGGTTCTTTAAAGATGTTACTTATATATGCAGGGCACAGTTTATGCTTTACTTTATACATAAGGATGCACAGATCCTGTAAGCGACTATTTAGTAGTGTTGGCAGATCTGCCTTCTCTAATAGTTGTTCATAACTAGAATTATTATCCTTGAAAACCGCTCTAAGTCCTCTTTCTTGTAGTCTTTCAAGCTTTCGAGTGTCACTCGCTTTACAAAAATGCCACACTAGGTGACAGTACGTGAGGAATGGTAATATCGCGCTTTTGAATAATATTAACTTAGATTTCATAGGAATTAAATTACGTAGTCTCATTAGAACACCAATTCTCTGGCTGGCTTTTTTACAGATAGAGATTACATGCTCAGAGAAATTTAGCTTAGAATCTAACACTACTCCTAGAAGTATGATATTATCTTTAGATTCAATCACAACATCATTCACGCAAATATTGCTGTCATTTTGAGTGAAGCCCAAGTTCAAAACTTGGTACCTTTAAAGCCTTGAAATAAAATATTCAAAATATTCTGATGCCTGTAGCGTTTTAGTAGTCCAAACTCACTTTACACTGAAGAGATTTGTAACAAACGTTAGCGTATCCTAAATCCGGAATCACGCCGTTGACTTGTATTTTGGCTGTTCTTGCTGCGTTTTTAGGCTTAAGTTCGGCTTCTTCCTCTCCGCAAGACGTGTGAAATTTGCCCCCATTTTCTCCAGCTTTACCAACACATCCGAGCGTATCCAAGCTAACGCAACCTCGTTCACAGGGCTTCTCAATTGTAATCTAGAGCCTGTACTATTGACGTCATTTTACCGGATGTTTGGAAATGTCTACACAATTTGTTCAACGTTAGCTGATTATGAATATTTAGCCGGGGGATTTGAGCCAATCAGAAACAGTGAAATATTTTGAATGAATAATAAATGTAAATATTCGTCGCAGTGTTTTAAGATAATATAAACATTTTCGATAAATCCAATAAATTCCTTTAATATTAAACCTTCGAACAATTACGTCGGCACCCTGTAATCTGGACAGAATTTCGAGAGTTTGGGCTGGCGGCTCCCCCTTGATTAGTCCTCTTCGCCGCGACTTCCCTTTTACAGGGTAGCAAAGGACAACAGGTAAGAGAAAATGGCAACCTGACGATACGGCGTATTTTTATGTCGATACAGGCAATTTTAGGCGTCCCAGTCAGCGCACGTACGACCGGTCTACCGTTAACACCTCCATGAAAGCCACTGTGAAGTGTACCAATCGAGAAAACCCCGTGCAAGAGAGATCATTTTTTCTGGTTTGATCAGCTCTCATACCTTTTCCATTTCGTGGTGGCGTTTCGTTTCGCTTTATCTAATAAGTGAAACGAAAAAAAAGAGCTTGAGTTTAGGTTCATGGAAAACCTGCATTTTCGGGAGGGAATCGCACAGAGACTACGTTTTTTGAAGAAGACAGTGGATGAAACCGGCTGAATGCTCAAAAAAGCAAACTTATGGGCTTTTCCGGTCCCCATAATTAACAGTTAACAGCAAAACTGTAGAGCTCCTCTTTAGACTTGGAAAATCCATTTATGTTAACTGCTAGCTGCGCAGCTTAGGTTCAAAATAAGACTGGAAATAATTATTTGTCTGCCAGGGAGAGAATGTCAAAGGAGGCCAAATTAACGGCAGGGATAAGGTTCAAAAGGTTGAGTTTGATCGTCCGGGTGAACGTAGTCCTGAATAGGACTGTTGTTGTTGACAGTGACTGACGTTTCGACAACCTGTGCGGTAGTCATCTTCAGAGTCAAAGTGAGTTGTATCACGTCAGTTGATGGTATTATACTCTGGTTATTGATATGATTGGTCAATGATGTCGCGATGTTATTGGTCGTCTGTCAGTTAAGCCGTGATGTTATTGGCTATGAAGACTCGTAATCAGTGATTGGTGAGTTTCGATCTGTCTATTGTCACAGTTAAACAGTCGTCTATTGTTAGTCAAATTGTCAGTTCTCCAGTTGGATAAGGTTGTAAACTAACGCACTTCACCAGATGAAACACTCCTTTTCTTGTTTGATATATACCACAGTTTTAATAGCCCTTTAGATGTTGAAGAAAAGAAGTAGAAAAAAGCTTCTTAAGTGAAGATGTCTTGGAGAGATACGAAAGGTTGATATAATTAAAACGTTTGGGGACTTTTGGCCCATCATTAGGGTAAGTCTTTGTTGATTCTGATTGTCTCAGTCTCAATGTCGTTCAATTGCGACACAAAGTCAAACGTTTACTACATAATTATGATAGAAAAAATGACTCGTTTAAATGAACTCGATAAACTGAGGTTCTAATATCTTTCAAAAAGTAAATTATTGAAAAATTAAATTCTCGATTCGTACATAGAGGAAAGAAAGATCCTATGTCTCATTAGCCAATCGCTGACAATTATGAGAAGTGACAATTTATCTAACCTACTATTTAACCTAGCGCAAATGAGCGGGAGACCTAGTCGGCGAGTGCGACGCGAGAGGAAGACATTTTTCTTCCCGGGGCCGGGAGGGGGGTACTCTCTCAAATGGCCTATACATATAGCCTATATATATCACTATTTTTGCCTCTCGCTCTCGAACGTCTATGTTTTCCGTTTATTCACGCTCATCACAAAAAAATCACCCAATATACATGTACAGCAAAAGTTTAAGTCACAGAAGTCTTGGAGTGTACAAGTCTGTTCACACATTTCTGGGTATGCTGGCGTAGGGATTCTTCTGATACCAACATGCGCCCACACAACCAACAATCAAGCAGCTTTTCACGAGTGTGGACGTAACTATGTTCTTTAAGGTCTGACGCTGTTAGAAACGCCCGTTCACACTGGTTACACTTAAATGGCTTCTCATCCGGAGGCATTGCTTTTAGCCACTTTAAATGTGATACCGTTTTAAAATGCTTATTCAGTTGTTCCGATGATTTAAACCACATTTCGCACACAGAGCACTCAAAAGGCCTCTCATCGCTATGAGAGACTTGATGTTTTTTCAGTTCAAATCTAGTCTTGAAGGACTTTTTACATGAGCTGCAATTAAATGGTCTTTCATCACTGTGAACTCGGCTCTGGTGAACTTTGAGACGCTGTGAATTCTGGCAAACCTTTCCACACAAACTGCACTGGAACCGTTTATCGTTGTTATGCAACATCATATGCTTCTGCTTGGCGCAGAGTGTCTTGAATCTCGTCTCACACTGGTCGCACTTGTAAGGTCTCTCATCACTATGAGCCCTGTAGTGACCACTTAGCTGTGAAGAGGTTGGAAACCCCTTTCCGCACAACGAGCACACGTGCGGTCTTTTGCCACTGTGCAGCCGAAGATGGCCGGTCAAAGCCTCCTGCGTCTTATAATATTTCCCACAAACTTTGCACAGAAATGGTTTACTGTCACTGTGAACTGAATTCTCGTGTCGCTTCAATTTACTTCTGTCTTTGAAGCACACACTACATAAAGAACACTTAAATGGCCGCTCTTCTCGATGAGTTTTATAAACATGTCCTTTCAGGTGGCTTTTGCTCTTAAAGAACTTTTCACACACGTCACACTGGAAGGTTCTTTCATCAGTGTGTGCTATTTGATGACCTTTGAGCTCATGGGTTGTCTTGAAGGCTTTATGGCATTTGCTGCACTTGAAAGGTCGTTCATCACTGTGGACTATACGGTGTCTCTTAAGCATTGCAGTTGTCCGGAAGCCTTTCCCACACTGAGTGCAGTGAAAAGGTGTCTCTTTACTGTGTGATAGACTGTGCTGCTTCAGACATTTGGCTTTCATGAAAGTGCTGTCACACTGACTGCACTTAAAAGGCCGCGCACGGACAGTGTGCGTTTTTAAGTGTTCGGTCAAATCTCCACCTCTCTTAAAGCGCTTTCCACATTGACTGCACTGAAAAGGTCGATCATCACTGTGAATAACGGCGTGGTTTCTGAGAATTTCCTGACTTTTGAAGTGTTGCCCACACTTGCTGCACTGGAATGGTCTGTCATCTGAATGAACGACGGCAAGGTGTCTCCTCAGCTTGTCAGGAGTTTTAAAGCCCTTGCAGTGACATTGATTGCACTTAAACGGTCGCTCTTTACTATGTACAACACTATGTAACCTAAGAGCAGCCGGGCTTGGAAATAACTTGTCGCAGTCATCACACTTGTATTTCCTTACTCTGGAATACTTACGAACACCACGATCGCGATCATCACGCTCACGATCACGTTCCTTGCTATCACGATCACGATCATCACACTCATGCTTGATTTCAGAAACTTTTATAGTTGAAAAATTTTCACCCAGAGATGAAGACTTTGATGTTGAAGCACTCTTCTTGGTTGCTTTCTGGGAACAACTGTGGTTTAAATCTTTTACTGAGCTTTCTTTTGAATCATCATGTTTGTGTCCCACTTGATCCATGTTTTTCTACATGTACCTTTCCTGAAAACGCAAGGGGAAAATTATTGACAACACTGAAAACTATTTAAAAATGGGGCAAAGAAGGGTATTATGTAAGGATAAAAGCTTCCACAAATAAAAAAAATAAAGATTTAAAATTTGAGATTTGAGTGATTGCTTTATCCAAGAAAGCCTGTCATTAGTCATTAGTTTTTTTCTTTCGTTTATTCTCTTGTCTGTCTCTTTGCCCTCTTCCCCAGCCCCCACAAGAATTCTTTTTTCTGCACCTCCTTCCCACCAAAAAATGAATGCATCATAGCTCTGACAGAAAATGCCACAAAACCAACAGATTAATAAATTTAATTTACTATATGGATGAGAGAGTGAAAAATATTTCAGCACTACTTTCTTTTTTTAAAACTTCAGGTAAACTCCCTTTACCTTCGACTTCTTTAGCAATAAGTAAAGAAATGTGATAACACAGATATCAGAATTTTCAAAATTATGGCCTTTGTTGGGCCCTTCTCAGACAGGAGGGATGAAAAATTCCTCCTTAGCCAACAACAGTGTGTATTAGTGAAAAATCATGGTGATCAAATTTAAATGCTAATAACTCAAACTAAAACTGCAATAAAACACTTGCTTTTTGCAAAGACACAAATTTCAAAATTAAATTGGCTACATTAAAGGAACAGAAAAATATACATTTCAATCTATTTTATAACCACTGATGAAATACCAGGTTAGCTTTAGCCCGAAAACATGATATCTTCACACGTTAAATTTTTCTTGTAATGGCCGGGCATGGGCATTATTAACTACTTAGTAATAACCAGACATTACTCGCTAGGTGTCCAAGGCATAAACAATCGTGTTTAACTTGATAGTGGACATCCTTATGAACATCCACGTTATGGTCAATTGACAGCTGTCAAAAAGTGTATCTGCTGACCAGTATCACATGACTGTATCATGGGCATGTATAAATGTACAACTCATTGAGGTGACATTTTTTTAAGTTATCTTCTGACCATGCAGTTGTTGGTTTTCATTGATCCCAGGCTCAGGTCCATAATGAAAAGGCCATATAATAACTTATTAACCTCGTCCACTCGGTCATTACAGGGAAATCTCAACCTCTCAGACCTCAGACTCTGATGTATTGAACTCGTGGCTTCAGTCTGAGATTTCCCTGCAATGACCTCACTCTCAGTTATTAAGTAGTATATCTTCACCCATGGTCACCATTTTATTGCTATGGCTAGTACTTTTATCTTCTCATGTTCAACACTCAAAAGAGACAGATTTCATAGATACTTGTATGCCCAAATGAATGCATGTCGTATCCTCTATGTATGATTTTAACAGAATTTGTCTTTTTTTAGCTATTTTAAAACAACAGCCCATGTCAGTGGTCTGAGCTCATGTATTTTGTATGTTCTTGGGTGTTACAGGTTGATGGACCAGCTCCACGAGGTTGAAGATACTATAGTCAAAAAGTTCAGGGCTGTGCTCTTGCAGAGCCTGGTGACCCCTGGTGCCTAACTTACACTCCTGGGTGACTCAAAAATCTTACTTTTTTTCATGCAAATCATATGCTGAACACTCTAAATTTTACAGGTTCAGAGTACTGTGCTCCCTTGAATTTTCCTTAGAGCACAGCCTTGTCATATTTGGAACAAATGAGATTTTGGCATAAAAGATTTCACTACTAAGGTCAAACAAGAGCAATTTGGTTCTTCACATTTTTTTCTCTTCAAAAGCAAAACATTAACATTACTTCCTTCTTTTGAAAAATATTGAGTACAGAGATGGTGCAGTTTAAAGGTTCATATTTTAATAGAGCTGTTACCTTAAGAAAGCTCCAATTAAACCACTTGACTTTGCAAAGAAAAGAGTGGTGAGGTGTGCTCCCCACCATTTGAACAAGCTCCAAATATGTCTTTTTTATCGTATCTAAGTTGGTTTGATGTTAAAGATTGCCCCACAGCTCTATACATGACTATTGTGAGGAAGTCTTACCTGGCTCATATAAATTGAATGAACATATTACATATCGATGTTAGCAAAACCACCGTACATTGCTAAGCAATAGTCCATGTATGCAAACATCTTTTTGTGATTCAAATGTATCAAACACTGAAACAAAGGACCTCTGACTGTTTCCAGGGTCAATTCTCTCGAGCGGTCTCATATATTTTCAATTTTACGAGAAATATGTTTATCACAGAACCAAACAACAAAGATTATTAACAGAATCCATGCAATAGAAAAGATGGGGGCATTCATAAGATATCATTAAGCTTGAGGTTTTGCGGTCAATAAAATTGGTGGTTACAACCACTGCTACCCAGGCAAGTTCACGAGTGAGAATCCTTATATAACAGAAATATTATAAGGGCCAGCTGTGTGGGGGTTTTAGTGTTCATTATTTTGGGGTGAAAATGTCAAAATAGCAATAAAAATACATCCTATCTTCTTACCTAGTCTCCTTATTTCATTGATGGTGTGCTCTTAGCATTTTTGGCTGTTTCAGGGACATTCTGGCAAGTTTTGGTTCTGTCGTTGTTCTCTCCATAAGTTATTCCCCAAGGTTTATAATTACTTTCTAGCAAAGGTCTCGCATATCCACTGAAGAATATCTGCTCAAATTCCTGATTTACTTAAGTGGATTGGCGAGACCTTCGCTAGCAATTAGTCACCAACGTTGGGGAAGTCATTGTTTATACTCAGAACAATAGCAGAACCTAAACTCGATGGAATCGCTCTGTAAACGGGCAAGAATGCCAAGAACAAGTTCTGATGTATTTTCATTGCTATTTTTAACCCCCTCGTACCGTAGCGATCGCTAAAATCCCCACAAGGTCACGATGAGTCCAGAATCTCACTTGTCGACTTGTGGCACGTACAGATGACTACCATTTCGGCCAAGAGAGTTTACGTTGCGTACACAGTGTGTTTTAAGTGAATATAGTTCCTTTGAGAAAATATTATTATCATTAATATTGCACATATTCTTTTGTGAATCTAGTCTACTGACCGTCAATTGTTAGCCACGAGGTTAACCGAAGCCGAGTTTAACACCGTTCCCTTGAATTTTTAAGCTTCACAATTATTATTTTCATAGCTTTTGCACAAGGAGAATCCTTTCAAATTCTTGTACAACAGCGGTTCAAAACATACCTCTGACAACAATTTCCAACCGTCCGCTTAAATCCAAACAGCGCCCGAAAATTCCCGTTGTGGGTTCAGGAGCTTTTGTTTATCTGTTGTGACCAACGTGGTTCTAACTCTTCCGGGGTGGGGACAGGAGTTATGACGCCTTTGTATGACCTGTTGTAGTGCGCACTCGGAGTAGGCCAAGTCAGAGGGGGTCCCGAGGGTATCCACTGGATTAACAAAACGACTAAAATGCTGACTGGTCAGATTATACTGCCGCAAAAAAGACTAAAGCAAATCTGAGCCTCACCATTTCATCGCTAACCTTCCAGTACCTCACAATAAACACGTAGTCAGGCCAGTCGGTGAGGAATTCAGCTTTTGTCAACCATACCTCCTAAAGCTAAAAGGAAATAAGAATTGTTATGAGTCATATTAGCTGTATCTCTCGATTGTAGCCTTGTCGTTAACTGTGTTAGCCCACGTACCTTGTATTAAATGGAATCGGTGGATTGATCTTTCAAGGACCGAAATATTTCCCCCACTCTCTAGTGTAAGAAGAACTTTTTAAGGAGGAACTAGCAGATTTTTCTTCAACAAACTCGGAGATGTGACTTCTTTCTTTAAACTTCGTTTAATAGTTACCGAACTTCACTGCTTGCACAGTAGCTACAATTTACTCTCTCGATTATGTTGTGGCACCTCTTTTTACAGTGACCAGAAACCCACCTGTTCAAGTTCAAATCAATGGTTACATACGTCTTCTGTGATTGGCTAGAAGAGACTCATTAGCACTGAACCTTCGAGTTACTGATTTCGGCAAAACAGTTTACTTTCTTAAATTTCACCTTAAAGCTTGGGTTGTCCAGTCAATATAAAACAAAGAGAGCAATATAAAAATTACAGATAATTTTTTTCTAAATAAAATTCTTACAATAACAGTGAGGAAAGCACTAAAATTGCAGTTTGAAAATCATGTTGTCGATCCACAGAAGGTGTTAATTTTCTTCATCGAAAATGATTGGCTAAACTTTTTCATAAATTAAAAATAGACGTGTATGGAATATTCGTGGGACAAATTAAAATTGCAGTTCACGGTAGTTACTCTTAACCAACACCTGTGAATTGGGGGATATTCCATACTATTATGATTAAGATATTTAACATTGCAGGTAAAAACCATCAACTATATGAATTCGATCGAAAATATGGAAAATGAGCTAAGAATAGGATAGAGGTAATTTCCTGGAAATGCAGACAAGCGATCAAGGCGAAATATCAAACCATGCAATATATATATATTTTTTAAATTAAAACAAACCTTTGTTGAAAACCTTAATTAAACATTATTCTACGATAGAAGGGTTGTCGTGGAAGTGCCCTAAAATAGAACATACTTGTTTAAGAACGAATTTATAACAGGAGAAGGTTTATTTTGATGACTATTTAATTTTAAACGTCGATATGTAATTCTAAACAACTAATACGTGAATCTTCGTGATACCTGGCATTATAAAGAGAAAATAATAGAAACCACTTAGGCCCCGTCGACCCTTATTCCGATATTTTTGAATCAGCGACTTTTTCTTTCCGGATTCAAAAATTTCCACGTCCACACGTATCCGGTGAATCCGGCGTACGAATCCGCAACTTTTTGAATCCGCTCTCCAGAGTGGAAATTTTAAATGCGCGATGAATCCGGAATCGTTTGGACGCTAAATTAAATCCGGATATTTTTTTATCCGATGACGTAACAAGATCGAGCCCAGTTCTTTACCCCGAATACACAGTATTCGCCACTTTTACATCTCCCATAATACACCAAGTTTTCCCCCAAGCCCTCCCCCAAAGCTTTAAATTGATCATGACAAATGAACTATAAAATCAAAACAGCAAAGACAAGAGGGACTTAAGTCTTCCAGATATTTTGGACAGTTACATCATATTTTATGACCACTTTACTCGGTAAGTCTCGAATATCATGCATACACGTTGTGCATTACCCAGTTGGTTACAAACTATTCACAACTTGTCCTTAGTCCTGTCTTACAAATCTGGCAAATTTATCGTTTGAAGTTAGCCTCCTTGAATTCGAAAGTTCTTTATCCGGGGTAATATCTCTTGGCTCAAGGACTTCTCGGACACATTTAAGAAGAACTGGTAACGAGTCAGGAACACTTGATGACGAGGTTCTGTTGGCACAGGGAAGGTAGTAGAAGTTTCCAACTTGTCGGGGAGACAGACTTGGCTCGTTTTCTCGCGTCAACGCGTCAACTGTGTTGGCTTTTTTCTCCTTCTTCCATCTTTGGCGTCGATTTCTAAACCACATCTGAAAAAAGAGAAACCAACAGCATGGATATACAAGCATAGCACTAGTTTTATGAGCTTTTATGTCAATTTCTCTACTTGTCAAATTCCGTACGCGGTTCGTTAAACCGGCATACATTTTCATAGTTTCTCTCAGCTAAGAAATATGCGCTACAAAGTATCTTCTTACGTGGCTTACAGTACGAGACACGTCGTCTGAAGGAAAAAAAAATCCATTGTAGCGAAGAGTATTTAGTGGTATCCAGCTCATTCCTAGTGGTTGGCGTAATCAAGAAGACATCTATATCTCCAAAGAGGAGCCTGAATTTTGACTTGTCTTACTTGCTCAAGAGTAGAGAAATTGTTTTTAGATTTTAGAAAAAGGGTTTTTAGACGCGGGTTCTTACTGCACATACAACTGAATCCATAGAGCATAAAGACCACGCGTTTTTGTCGAAACATTTTACTCGCAGTAAAAGTACCTGAACGTCGAAGTAGCTAATCCCAAGCCCTATTGCCAATGCTGATTTCTCTCTTCTGTTTGGAAACATATTCTTCAGAAAAAGCTGTTCTAGTGCTGTCTTTTGCTGAAGGGTCAGACAGGTTCTCCTCGCGCGGCAAGACTGCTCACGAGCGTCCTGTTCTGATTGGCATCGATTGGGAAGAAGATCTGCTAATATAAAAACAATATATCAGTTAAAGGAGCTGTGTCACATAATTTATCAGAATTCAAAACGTAGGAACTGCCACCAAATTGCGTGAAACATAAAAAGAACAGCTCAAAATGTTAAAAGAAGGTTTGGATAACACGACAAATCAAAAGAAAGCACAGATGGACAAATCTTGAAGAAAATTGAAACGGATTGCAATGGTTGTTTTTGAAAACTTGTTTGCCTAACAGTTTTTCAAAGTTAATTTTTGTTGTTTGCAGGGTTTGAAATAATGCTTGGGGGTGTACTTGTTAGACGCAAACCTGTAATTTTGTCATTTATAAGATATTTCTTAAGTGTCATAGCGAATAAGGACTCTTAAAATTGCATTATAAACGGCGAAATGAACTTGCAAGCTGAGACACAGCCCCTGTAAAGTCGTCATCAAACTGACTCCAAGTAAGACTTACGTTATCTCGCTAACATGATAATCGTTCAATTAGTGCTACTTTGCACCCTGTTACATGCAACAAACTGTAATTAAAGTTCACTTACCCTGAAGAACAAGCAATACCGAAGGATCAGTTTCTCCGAAGTGTAGCCGACGGCGAACGGAGCTGTTGCTTGCATCTTCGGTATAGCTATCTGTTTTGGCTGGCCGAGGTTTCTTGACAACTTCTCCAAAATCCATTTTACGCCTGACACAGTCTATTGGCGAGGAAAAGATAAGTGTTTCAGCAAAACGATTGGGACGAGACATGTCGTTGTAATTCTCGGCGAGTCTATTTAACGCACGCGTAGTCTAATTGCTTCAACTGACTTATGTTTACACATTCAATGTTCTTTACTTATATAGCCTTCTTGAGTAGGAGGAGATAAGTCTTTTTGTTTCAGGTGTTTTCTTTCAAAAACAATAGATATGAAATTGAAAGGACTTGAAGTGCTAAGATGATAATTAGCACTCTATTCAGTAAACGTCGAGAGATTTTTCTCACCTTCCTACTGACTGAAGCATCAAACTTTTTACAACACTATATAACAATATGATACGATATAATAACTTATTAAATAAAAGAACAAAAACTTGATAATCACACTCCAATTCAAATAAACGGCAATGACGCGCGTTGAAATATCTCACCTTTATTGGCCCTACGACTAACTGTTTTATACCTTTTTTAAGGAATAAATGGAAACGCGCTTTTTCTCTTGAAATTAAATCTACAGTTATTTTGTGCATAACATGTAGATCGCGAGATCAGAGGGAGGAAAAAATAACTCGTTTCTCTTCCTCTGGTCTCGAGTTCTCAGGAACACCTTTCTCAAGGTAGCATTAAAGAGATTCTTAACTGACCGAGCGAGAAATACTGCTTCCAGCGTGTGCGTTGATTGTGAGAGAGAATTACAGAAGGTAGAGAAAGCCTACTTTACCAGCTTTGACCAACTTTCACTAGCATTTTTAGTGGCAAAATATCTAAAAAATAACTAGACAAATTCAATAACGTCCAATTTTGAACTAAGGTTGAGCCACTGGCTGAAAGTTCTTGCCTAAATAAGAAAAACGGGAGTGAAAGAAAAAAAATAAACAGATGATATCATTCGTGCTGGTCGGTACGTGTATAACAGGCTCATTTATCGTTTGTCTCACGATAGACACTTCGATCCCTTTTGCACGGGTCCGGACAAATTTTTGAGGAGAGAAAAACTTGCACGGATCCGCTTTCAGTTTACACGGGACCCGCAGAACCGTGCAAGTTTTAAAACGGCAAGGTGTGAAAGTTCTGTAACAGAATTCGCAAGGATCCGTTTAAAAATTAGTCCGTTCAAAAATTTTCCGGGTTCAAGGGTCTTGGTTATTCATCGCGACGTTTTGACCGCTCACTGCTTATCTTCTTAGTTTGTGATTGATACATTGTGAACCTTACTTATGCATGGTTGTTAGATTTCGATCCTACAAGACAATGAAGATAAGACAAGACATTTATTATCATAATATTGCCTGTACATTTCTTGGCACGCAGTTAGCCAAAAACGCTAGTCGTGGCGTTACAAATCAGATATTACAAATCAGATATTACAGATAATAAGAAAAAAGCAAAGAAAAAGAAAAAAGACGTGTAATAAAGTTAAAACAGTTTAAAAGCATGAAAGACAAATCTGTTTAATGCAAATAGAGGAAAGAAGGATTTCGCGATCTAATTTCTCGTGTTATCATCATGGTTGCATAAAGGTAAACATCTTTGTCTTTTAACTGTATTTCAAAGAGCATACTGATTAATTTTCGTTTAAACGCTTTTTATCCTAAGCATTCCACGGTGTTCCTTCAGCGGTACGCTTTATAGCTGCTGTGTTTACGTTTCTGGATTCCACTTCCGCCACCGCCTTGATGTTTTTAGGGAGAATCCTGATAATACCAGCAGTACTAGGTCGAAACATCGAGACAAAAATGACCGTATGGCAAAACAAACCATAAACAATCCCATCAAGGAGAGAACAAGTTTGTCAAAAAAGCTTACTGCTGAGATTATGAATATATGTGAATTTCATATGCCCACTATAGTAGGGCAGGAACGCGTGACGAACCTCGAAGAACGTAGGGCTTATTAACTTTCTTCTCCTGAAAGGGGGGGCTTATTTGAGAGAGTGGCTTGACACAGGATTACGCATTCCCCGCGAGGGCTCCGCGAGGGTGGTCGTGTGACTTGGTTCCAGTATTTTCTCCGCCTCACATTGTTCATTGCGTGACTTGGTCCCAGTCTTTTCTCAGGCTCATATTGTCCTTTGTCGTGGTAGACAACGTGTTCTGGGTGTTGCTGTTATTGTAGATTCAGAACATATTAAGCTTTCTTTAAATATGGCTGAAGTTTCACAAAATCCGTCGAGAACTGTCTTGGTAGCAGTAGACAACAGTGAATACAGTCTGGAAGCATTCGAATGTGAGTACAGCAAAAAATCTAACGTGAATGTGCCAGTTCATACTCAATTATTAACGTGCCACCTTTCACGAATTCAGCTGTAAGTTAATCGCACGTTTAAGTCGAACTCGAAAAACGTTTTTTAATCTCAAAAAGGAACCATTTCAGTGCTAATGTCTTCGGATTTTGACAATGGTTTTCCTCCGCTTCCTAAATTTTAACATGGTTGCGCTGCACATTTCAGGACAACTTTGATCTGCTTTCATTAGACTCATTAAATATTCATTATGAGTTTAATTGTAATGCTTAGTTTTATTTACATTTCTTTTATTCCTCGCTTTTTGTTTGTTTTTCAGTAATATTATAATACGATTTGTGAATTGCTTGTAATGTTTTTTACAACCATGAACATTAGCAACAAGATATGCCATTAATATTACCCTACAAAAACCATCATACCTCTTAGCAACTATCCTCCCTCCCCCGCCCCCCACCCCAACAATAGAGGTACTCATTCAAAAGAAAAAAGGAGTTTGCAGACCTCCAAAAAAGGAAAAATATAGACGTAGAAAGGTGGGTAAGGGAAGGGGAGGAGAGGAGAAGGAAGGAAGGGGGGGGGGGGGGGGGGTAAGCATGATTTCACCAGGAGATGGATAAAATCTAAAATTCAGACGAGTTAAAAAAGATCCAAGGATTCCCAACTCCAGGGAAGGAGGAGGGCCTCTCGCTCGGACATCATTCATTTATTTTTTATTTATAAACTACCATTTTTATTTTTATAACGTGCCATCTGTGATGATGCACCGCCAATAGACCTAATTCACTTTTCCAAACCCTGACAGGGTTCCTGGCAAATATCTACATGAAAGGAATGGATGAAATTATTCTATTGCATGTAGCAGAACAACCACATGTTCCATTTTTAGCTGGTAAGTGCCCACATTGTCCCTCATAAATAGATACTATAGTGATTGACAACTGTGTTTGAAATAATTCGTGATTTTGAGCAACAAGCTGAAACGGTTTTTTGTAGTAGAAAGAAGGTGGCTGATCTAGGTAGCTTAAGGGTTTTTTTTTTGGGGGGGGGATTGGTCAAATCACCTAGGAGGGAGACATTAGGTGGTCCCCAATACTGGACATAGTGGAATGCCACAAGAAAAATTGGCAAATAATGATATTCCAAGTCAAAAATTGACAAAACACTGATACCGCATTTATGATCAGTCAAGCTTACTTAAAGTTGCATCCACCTAGCATAATGATGCCCTCTGTCACCATGTGTTAAGTGAAAGATAGTCTTTGTAAAGATACTTCAGAGTGAATTTTTTTTAGTAGTATTATTAAAGCAAAGCATTCGTGATGAGCTCAACTGCAGCATACAAGATTGTACCTGTCTATATTTGCTTTGTTCACTTTTTCCCCTGGGGGGGGGCACTTGGGTTTATATGGGTGGGTGTGTGCCGCCCAGGACTCCAAATTGGTACCCCGTTCTAAAAAGAATGTCCCCTAAAATTGAAACCCTGTTCTAGAAATGGACCAATTTTTTATACTCCGTTCTAGGGTGCAACTGAGTACGAAAGTTTGCTTGTTAACACATTGAACCATATTTGTAAAAGCAATCTGTCGTTGAATAATTTCAAATGGCTGCTGACAAAACTGGAGCTTTCGTGCGTTCGAAATATTATACCCTGTTCTAGAAAATGCCTCTGAAATGGATACCCCATTCTAAATCAGCAACTTCAAAACAAAGTCACGACCACGTTGGGCGGCACATAGCCGTATGGGTAATGTATGGGAGTACCCCCCCCCCCCACACACACACACACACACACACACACACACTCACCGGGACTTTTTCTTACTCTCCTTTTCCGAGGTAATAAATTGCAACCATTTTTTCATCAATATAGATCTGAGTTTGATCGTATAATTTAAATTAAGAATACTGGAACTCATATTCCAAGGACTAAAGTTTCAAAATTTTCTGACAGATGCCTTGGGTATTGAGGAATGGAAACAGGAAGTGAAAAAAGTAGAGGAGCATGTCAGAGCTGTGGAAAAGAAATTTATTGATAGGTGTAAGGAGCTAGAGGTAGGGATGTGTAGGTGTAGTGAATAATATATACCACTTAAATAAGTGATGCCACCCTCGAATAAGTGCCACTGAGTCCTAATTAATATAATCGAAATCGTAAGGCTTTAATTTTTTTAGTTTAATATGGAAAATAATAATACTGTTCCATACTGTAATACAATAATTATCACATAATTTTGGTCCAACATGCGCCCGTGAAAAGGCGAAGAATACGAGGTGTTTTGAAGGATCGTGATTTTCACCATCGTAAAGCCGTGAAAAATTTAAAATAGGTGTCTTGTCCTCAAATGAATCTCTCTTCGCACTGGCAATTTTCCTGAAATATGGAAAAACGCTGCCCTTGAAATAAGCACCACTTTTGAGGCATTAAAATTTAACAAGAACACTGAAGAACGTAGGAAATGTCATCGATGTATATATGCATACAAGTGTATTAATGGCCAACTAAATCATTCTTTGGACATTGTAAGAAAGAGTGATATACATTCTACAATACGCGCAATAACGATACTATTCCCCAAAATTAAATATAATTGGGGAAAACAAATACCACAGCAGCTTGATTTTTTTTTTTTTTTTTTTTTTTTTTTTTTTTGTATCATATATATCGATTTTAGCATTCAGTCACACAAGAACACTCTTACAGCAGCATTCAGTCACACTTGCTTGGTGATTAGATCAAGAAATGAGGAGGCGATTATAATTCTACACAAAACAGGATTTACTCGCTAAAGATTTTTTACTTCCTACTTTATCGACGTCGATACTTTTTATTTGTTTCTGAATTGATTTAGTACGTATTTTTGCGATGACCGGAAATACATCTGCAGTCACAGGGTATATACGCGTGTACACAAAAAATTCAAGAGCCTCAATTTCAGAAAAATTACGTCATTGCTAGAGATCAAAAGAGTGCTATGGCACATCATTTTAATCATCGCCGAAAATAAACTGCATGCTCATCGCAAGAGCATTTGCATACAATGAAAGTTTACAACACCCGATCATCACAGTTTTGCTAAGATCCTTATTTTCTTTCGACCACTCAGTAGTGTTCACTTGTTCCAAAGTAATCAACGTTTTCAAGCGATAGAATTCGTGGACCAACATGTTTTGGAAAAGCTCTAAATTTAATCTTTCCTAAGCTTTCTTTGCAAAACATGCATGGCTTTGATCATGCAACAATTCTTAGTCCCATGGCCAGTTTTCACGGTCTCCACAAGGAATGCCTAGTACAATGACCTCCCTTTTGTGTCCTAAATACGACGAAAAACATGTTGCAGAAAAAATGTGTCTCGCTGCTAAAGCAAGCAAGACTAATAAGCACCACAACAAGTAAATACAGTATATTAAACATCAGATCAGGGTTCTTTGATGATGGGAATGCCAGAGAAAACCTTCAAGAAAGCTAAGCTAGTGACTCAAAATAAATTATGGCAAATTTTAAACATTATTTATCCCTTTTCACATGAGTATCCAAATTATATGTACCAGTCAATTCAAAACTACCCTTTCCCCCCAAGGGCATACCCCAGGCATTTGACTGGAGTTTTGTTCCATACAGGGGGGAATTTGTCCCAAAATGTGCCCCCCCCCTACCCAAGTCAGGCATTTGACTTTCATGCCAAAACACTGGTCAGCATCGCAAGCAAAAGGATTTTCTTTATTTTGGTTGTGTTTAGTAGGATATTTACATTTCAATAAACAGTTTGATGCATGGGAAAATTTTTGAATAGTGGGTGAGGGATTTGACACCTTTTGAAGCACTAGCTGGTACGTATGGGGCATGCGCATTTTTAAACTGCCAAAATACCAGGGAATTTCACCAAAATTTTGGCAAAAAAGTCAAATGCCCGGGGGGGTTGCCTGGGGTGGGGCGTGTCATGGGCAGTTTTAGAATAGACTGGTTCATTAGATTGGCCAAACTACAAATTCTCAAAAAATTTACTTTTCCTTTTGGAAAATCATAAGAAATAGAATATAGTATGTACCATGCAAAATTTCTACCAAAGAGGTTTCATCTGAATGGAAACATCATAGGATTTTGTCCACAGGATTTTAAAAAGGTTTAAGTGACAAAAAATCTCACCATACCTCGGTTAAAGAGAGTCTGAGTAAACTAAATTACATTTTTACCCAGCTCCCAGCCCTGGCAATTTATCTTCCATTTCACAGTCCCTGAATAAATCTTTTATTGTGGTTTCTTTGTTCTTGACAGCTTGCTCATGTGACATTCAAGTTGGAGCAAGGCAAACCAGGAGAGAAGATCTGTGAAGTAGCCTTGAAAGACAAAGTCAAATTTATAGTGTTAGGCAGCCGTGGCATGGGAGCTATAAGACGCACTGTTCTAGGAAGTGTAAGCACTTATGTCATCCATCATACAAAAATCCCAGTTATTTTTTGCCCTAAAGATCATAACTAATCAAAACTTGTCTAAAAAAGACCTCATGGGGGCCCCTTTAAAATGAAGGGGTGATTTTTGTACCTCTAACAGGCTGAACGTTGAGGATCGGTACCACAGGAGCTTGAGGGAATGAATGACTACTTTCTTACTTGTCATTCAGATGAATTATTGTAATCAAAAGTTTGCTGGTGCTATTAAATTTGTTGTCACTTCATGTGTACCTCCAAAAGGTGAAACTGAATAAGAGCCACACCCATGAGTGAGATCTATGGTGCTTAATTACCATTTGACAGAAAAATTCAGTTGAGTGTCCTAAGCATAACACTAAGCTATTTAATTACTAGGTTACTGTAGAATTGTTCCTTCAATTACAAATTGAATCTGAAAAAGGCTCAAGTTTGTGTAGCGTGATTCTGGAACCAAACAAATGGAAAATGGTAAATAATATTCCCTTCAGTTTAACCAACCTTAATGAAAGCCTGTTACCGCAAATGTAGTCCTCAACGTTTGGTTGGAATTTCCAAAAAATCACATTAACATTAGCATTCCTCCGAAATAATGAAATTTTTTAGCTAAATGGTAAGCACCCCTTGTACAGTGTAGGGGTGAGGGGTGTTTTCCAAAGGTTCCAACAAGCTCCCCCTTCTTTTTTATAGGGAAGTCACCCAACATGGTCTTTAACCCAACAATCTAATTGTTCTGGCTTGTATAATGAGGTTTCAGTTCGTTTGACCACATAGTTGTCTAAACTGACAGAATTAAGAACTTTTAGCAGGGCTTATATTTAAAGACAGAGGTTTAAATATGAAGAGAGAGTATAAAATCCAAAGATTGTTTTTGTTTTAAATGTCACTTGTCAAAAAAGGTGTTAATTTGAGTTACCGACATTCAAGGATTGTCTTCATTAAGTTGTTCATTATTTAATTTCCCAAGTGAGAACAATAAAGCCAGTCAGTTATTTAAAATCCTGTTATCTTTCCTCTCGGGGCATTAATGTTTGCTTACCCTTTCTAGCTTTCTCTCTGTCTTTTACCTTGCATTTTTTCCAAGTCACTGGCAAGTATGACTGTTAATTATAACTCGATGTAAGATTTCTTTTTTGTTTCAGGTCTGTTTGTAGCGTGAGAAAACAGCCGACATTTTGGCGGGGAAACAAGGGGTGGCATCGCGAAATGTCGGCTTTTTTTCCAACAGACTACTCTGTCGGCAATAAATTTATTTTCTGAATACACCGATCCCACGGCATGGGCGGTCAAGGGCGTTTCGACGGTCGTCTGCTTGCGGGTGAGCAGGGTGCCAAAGGCGTCTTGGGAACCCTAGCTCTCTCGGTGATCTCTGGACCCGACGCCAAAAGCACAGAAAAAGAACAGAAATTCAAAGAGAACTTGCTCGCGGGCCGGGGTTAATTCATAGCTGATAGTAAACTAAAGACGCGCCCTTTTCGTGTAAAGGTACGAGTTAATGGTCTGTACCTGTATCCGTAAATACTGGTAGGCTCCATTTATCCTGGACAAACGGCTAGTCTATCGGGTAGAGCGATGAGGGTATAATGCACCTATCAATGTAATGCCAGCCGGGGGGGAGGCAGGGCATAGGGTGGGGATTTGACTTTTTTCAAAAATTTTCAATCAAATTCCCTGCCCACGGGCAAATCATTCCAGTCAAATGCAACCAAATTTCCCCACCCTGGGCTGCACATTGCTGTCAATCCAAAGGCGCGGCAGAACCTAAGAAAGGCACAATAAAAATATCTCTAAATAAAACTCTGCAATCTTTTATAAACGTTGCTGCATCACCAAAGATACACGTTCCTGTTACAGCTGCAATTATACATTTTAACCGTAATCCGTGTTACACTGCGTAGAATACATAAACCTTCAGGAGAAAGTCCACATTTTGTAAGTTTGAATATACTGTTCTTAGTAAAGGGTACAAAGAAAGTCAGTTTTATCAGTTTACAGTGAGTGTAGCGAATAAGCCATACACTGATCAATTGTACTTGCAAAAATCGACTTGGTTTCTCTTTACTTCCGTTTACTTTGATACCACAGTATTTTAAGAGGTTCAATATTGATCACTAACACGCTAAAACAAACGAAATTTGAAGACAAAACAGTGAAATCCACTCAGCCTTCGCTTGTTCTCATTGGCCTCCATGATTTCCTGATCTTTTCAAACCGTACGGCGCATGCGTGAAGCGTGAAAGCGGGAAACATATGTTCGGTCTCAGTCTTTTTCATCCGATTCGGCAGTCAAATATCTCGACGTCGGGCGAAGAAAGATTCAAATATCCCCTCCCCTGGGAGAACAAGATCGGTCAAATGCCCTACCCCAGGGCCAACAAAGACAATCAAATCCCCACCCCCGCCGGCTTTACATTGATAGGTGGCTAACTATGAGGAAATCATGGCTGCCAACATGTTAGCCTACCCGTACCCGTACCCGTTAAGGTCCCTGTCATGAAATGATTTGGTTGCTGGCAGCCAAAATTATTAGAAGTGCCTACGCTGTTGGCTGTTGTCTCTATGGGTCGGTATCAAAAGTTTATCATATTAAGGAGCAGGAACACCAAGAGATTAATTGCCTGTGCTTAATTGGCCTAATTATTTCAAACAGGTTCCATAATTGTCTCCTTTAAATATTTCTGAAATGTTAACCTTTAATAGGCAAAAGAAACACCGGGACATTAATTTGTTTTTGCACTTGAGTGTGGACATTTTTCTGCTCTTTCTGTTGGGTAAACGTTTACCTTTTTAAGTGGATAGGAGCTTAATTTGTCTGTACCGAATGGTTTATTTTTTTTTTGCAACAAGTTACATTTATTTCATTTTAACCGAATTTCGTGACTCTTTTATGGGTAAAGTTTACATTGCGAAGACCCTGGGGCGTTAAATTCCCAATTATTTGCTTTTCCGGCAGCCAATATAGATTTAAAGGAGTTGTGTCACGTTTTTCTGGTATAGCTGCTGAATCGGTCAAAAACATTGGACTAAAAGAAAACTCAGACTGCTATGGAAAAAGATGAAAATAGATTGCAACTTAAGAAACAAATTAAATCATTGGACCTAACATGCGAAGTAATGACCGGTGAGGATACATAACAGGACATAACGGTACTTGGTTGCTGATTTCAGATACGTGTTTTGACCCAAAAATAAGACATTTATCATTACAAAGCCCCTTTTGCCCTCGGGTTAAGGTTTGACTATCATGTCCTCTCCTGCACTTGACTGAGCAGAGCGGTGCTTTTAAAATTCCCGATTTTTTTTTTTTTTTTTTTTTTTTAGTTGTTAGTTATTTGTTTTGTTTTGTTTCTGCTCAAGTTATATATTTTTTTCTCTTTTTTCCATGAGTGAAATGCAAGCCACTTATATTAGGTGATCAGCATGTCGCTTTTCTTAACTTCCGCAACCCAGTCGCCCTCAGTTCCCGCCACAGCAGCAACAGAATTATTAAAGAATCGATTCGCCCTCAGCCTAATCCCTTAACCAGGAGAACAATTAACTTACTTGTCTGGCGCTGGTTTTCCTAGTTTACACGCAGATTGTGGAAACTGTGCATTCAAATTACATCATTAACTGTAAATGATTACAAGGATCGAGAAGAGAAATCTTTTCTTTCCCAGTAGTTATCAGTTTTCATTTTATGAAGGAAGTGATTTTTTGCCTCGCCAATTACATGTTGCCCCAGCAACGGGGGTTACATGTGGGTTTTTTTTAACAGAGATTTTTTAAGAATAAACAGGAATCGCCGAAAGGCGGTTTTAACTGGACTGCTAAGAGGCGATTTTGTCTTTGGGGAGGTGGCGGCCCGGGAGGGGGGGTACTCCCCTATAAAGGCTTAATGGGGAGGTGCGGCCAGCCAGGGTATGTTCAGTATGTTTTTCGGGATTTTTGTCTTAAACAGGGTATCGAATTCATCATTTTCTGTCTTAATCAGGGTATCGATTTATCAATTTTTGTCTTAAACAGGATATCTTTTCTTGGACGATAAACAGCAAAATTTTTACAAGCTCTAATGTTAGTTTATGTCTTAAACAGGGTATGAAAATCAGCGATATTTGTCTTAAACAGGGTCAGGGTATGAGGGACCGCGCCGCACCTCCCCACCCAGGGATATATCAAGTACCCCCCCTGGGGGTGGCGGCTGTACGCATAGAATCTCGGAGAGAGTGGAACATAAACTCATTTGAACATTCTACCCTTTTGGAAGACTTTCGTAGGCAAGAAAAATGCGTACCATTTTTAAGTCGGGCTGTATAGATTAGATCCACGATTACGAAATTTTTTGCGGGATCTAGTTTACAAGTTTTGAGGGTTGGCGATTTTTTGCGTTTTACAGCAACGAATTTTTGCGATAAGTACAGATTGGTTTTTCTTGCTGGGAATTATTTTTTGCGATGTTTAGGAAGTACCCAGTACCCAGCATTGATGATATTTTCGTTTTTATTGAGTACGTGCCAGTGGGGGTCTGGATGACCTCCCCTCCCCATTTGAAGGTCTGGATACTCCACTGTGTAATAGAAATACATATTTTCAAACAATACTACGGTGTGCGTACCCTGTGTAAAACCACAATTTCGTGCCACACGGTATAAAGAATAAAAATAAGCAAGTAGGAAACTAGCCTCCCCCGCAGACACTCTTAGGCGTGCGTCACGCGTTCTTTCCCCACGAAAGCACGGCTAAGAATGTCTGCAGGGGAGGCTAGTAGGAAACGATTAGCATTATTTTCACGCACCCTTCCCCAATCCCTCTAGTTCTGCCCCCTGAGCGCACTCATCGCAGCACCTTTTGAAGGAGACCATGAAAAAGCCCAGGGCAGGGTTGTTCGAAGCTGGATGTAAAAAAAGCAAATTCAGTTAAATTCTCTTTGCCTACAATTTGATGATTGGATACTCTAAAAAGAATAGAGAAAGTTATCCGAGAGAGTGCGTGCTTTTGATAAAAAGAAAATGAACCCCAGGTTAAAATTTAACCCTAGGTTAGTGCTAACCGGCGTTCGAACAACTGGGCCCAGCACGCTAGCTTCAAACCAGAATCCCCGGGGGGTACTATCTTACATTAACCTTATAGATATACTGTAGCTCTGAAAGAGTATCAAGATTAGGAGAGCCGAACGGCACACCCCCACAATAACTTCCCGGAATTACCCCCCGAAAAGAAAATGGAACGTAAACTGGACTGTACAGGCAGCCCAGTTAACAAGCGATCGTTTTATTCTAACGTGGCTAAATATCATAAAGATTTGACAGTCCTTGCTGAGACAAGGTGAAACGTTTTAAAGATCTTGACCCCTCCAAATATAAGCCCCTCAAACTCGTAATGCAAAAAACGCCTCCGTTAAATCGCCCCTCCAAATATATATATATATATATTGAAATTGCCCTCAAATACAAAGTAAAACAAAGCAAAAACGGTAAATTCCTTCCACTTATAAGGCTAGCCAAATCGATTTTGAAACGCAAATTTCGCTCCGTAGATAAGCCCCTCCGAATATAAGCCCCTCCAAAAATAAGCCCTCAAAAAGCGCCTTTTAAAAATATAAGCCCCGGGGCTTATTTTCGGAATTTTACGGTAACAGAAATGGGTAATTTGGGGGCTTTCTAAACTACTAGCATTACTAGTTAAGATCAATCTTCTCAGTAAAGTGCTTATCCGCAAATACTGAGTTTCGGCCGATGAATTTGATGGCAAGATCTCAGATTTGTCTTTGCATGTGTTATTCGGCAAGACCCAGTCAATGTCAAAACGTGAATCACTTACATATAGAAACCCTCTTAAGCCTCTCAACAACTTAACACCACTTATGATAGAAGACAGCATGGCACCCCAGCGATTCTAAACCAGTAGACCTGCACCGTTCTAAACCTCTTATTTCACTGGCCTCTGAACTTCCATTGTCTTCGTAATCAAAAAAAATCCTTCGAATAAATACGGGAGCGCCCGTCTAAACCCCTTGCTGGTTAGGCCCGTGTGAATGCGGAAGTTAGATTCCTTTGACAGTTAAATAAGCGTTGAATGTATTTATACAACTTACTTTCTAACTCAAAGTGGATAGATATTTTTTCAAAAAAACTGTCGGACATAGGACGGAAATCAAGGATCGTATATTTATAAGAAACTAAACACTAGACGTACATGGCCAGGCCCTTTTTACGTCATGAAAAGGTTTTCTTAGTTTTGTACAAAGAAATGCCTTAGTATTTTCTGCTTTATATATGTTGTTCTTTCTATTTTCAGAATGATAATAAATTCCTTTTGTTCATTTGTTGCTTCCTACGCAACTTAATTGTCAATAAATAAGTTAGCATGATATTCGCCTGACCTGCTCAGGAAGTAATTGCCGCAGCCGAGTATTGCTGTCTGAAATGCTAAATATATGATAAATAGCCCTTTTCAAACAATGTATCAGTAAACAAAGACGAACAATCAGTCGGTCAGCTTCTTTTTTACCTCAACAAAAATGTTTACTTTGGTGGTTTTGACTTTGTGGATTTCTTTAACTGAAACAGGTAAATCAGTTTTGTATGTATTAATAACAAAGGCGTATGCAGTTATTACTTTGCTCCGAAGCAACGCGAAGGATTTGTGTTGAAATTAGGGTCCTTGCTCCTAGCTTTATCAATTTTTTTACAGTTTTTACCAATTTTTCCGTAAACTTTCACTTAACTGTTAAATAGGCGACCTTCGATCTATTATGTAGTCACAAACTGTAAAATTCTTAAACGAACGGATGATTATCGCCGACATGTTATTAACCATCGGCGAGACAAGGGAAGGACTTTGATACTGTTTTCGTTTCCTGACTTTATCCTAACTGAACCAGCTTTCTGAAGCAGCCGTCCGAGTGTACAGTTATTGAACTGAGAATTTGCTTTCATGGAAGATAGAAAGTGATCTTGAGTAGCCTTGCTGCTATAAGAAAAATTACAGTTCCAATTAATGACGAGCATAGGTTCAGATAGTTATTGATATATTGGAATATGTGACTGAGCAGATGAAAGCACTTTGAGTTATTAAAAAGGCATGCAGTACTGTAACACCAAGGACTAGGCTTTCCGAACAATCTTTTAAGATGAAAGGAAATGGATGACACCAACCTTTCAACGCTATAAACTCATGGTCATTCAAAATTCTCTCATTAACCATTTATTGTTCTCTAAGAACCAAAAAGGATCAAAAAGAAAAAGTATTAATAAATTTCCCTCATCTCATGGCCGTAGAGCTGTTTAAGTGTATATTGAAACATGCTGAAACATGCGCAAACTTTCACAGTTAATTCAAGTCTCTTTTGTATCACACCAGATGATGTGAGCGAAAGCATTAGAAATATTGACTCCGGCAGTGAAAGAGAGAGAAAACCGACTTCAGATATTAAAACGCCTTCGTTATTTCGGTCTTATCTGACGCATGACGTGAAATTTAGAAAAGAAAAGCGCCAGGGCTCATATCTTGAGGCATTTTTGAGGGCCTTATAGAGGAAAAATTGCGTTTCCAAAATCTGTTGGGCTTATAATTGGAGAAAAATATGTGCAAGCTTTTTTTGAAACTGCAAGTCATAAGGATAATTCTCAGGCATTGCAATTACAACAGCAATAAAATAAATTGAAAATGGAACATTTACATACCGTTGATAATGGCAAGTCAATACTTCATTAGCCGCCATAATAGCGCCCAAGTCATTAAGAAACACCCCATGCACAACTCACTGACAACTGCTATTAATTACTTTATAGTTTATGAGGTAGCTTAGTTTATTAGTAGTTAAGTAATGATGTAATTGAATATGTTTGCTCAAAGTTCATTGATATCTCAGTAACATGTGAAGATTTACCTCCTGGCCTTGTCTTGTCTTTATTTCATATTTGAGGGTAATTCCCAGATACAAGGCCCCCGGGGGCGTATATGCGCGGGCACTTGTGAAGAGGCCTTTTTTGCGTTTCTAACTTAACTTATAGGAGGCTTGTATTTAGAGAGACATATAAACGAAAGGGCGTAATCTTTTTGTGAATGTTACCGTATATTTTCTCTGGTTCAACGTTTAATTATTTAATTTTTTTTTTCTTTAATTTTGTAACTTATATCTACTTAGAACAGTACTTGAGCTTCATTACCCGAGCTATCTTTGAGGCTGGGAGACTGCGCCTTTGAAAGCGGAAGAATTAAAATTTAACTCTTTGTGCGGCTGTAGCTTCGGTTGCACTGATCTTGCTTTTGGTATAAGGCTGTATATTTTCGTACCAGCATATTTTGTGATAAGTTTCGACCTCTTATAATTAATTAAATATTTTCTCAAGTCGGTATCATAAATTGCAGCGAGATGGACTAACTCTATTAAATCTTCCTTTTTGAAATATTCTGGAGAGCTAAAAAATAAAATTGGAGCCGGATTAGCCTGCGAACAACAAGCTCTCCAATTCAGTGGCGAGCGATGCGACTACCGTACCCTGAAATGTAGAGCTTGTTCGCAGGCTAGAGCCGGATTCCTGAAGCCGTCCAACCCTGCCTATAATTGTTAACAGTTGGCTATTGTGATGAGATAATGCTTCAGGGTTTCATGAATCATTTATACACAATGAAATAAATTTGTAAGCCGTCCAATGCTGGCTGACTGGATGACTGTTTGACTGACTGACGGACTGACGGACGGACTGACTTAATGACTGGCTGAATGCCTCTCTGACTGAATCAGAGATGGATGGATCGATCGATTGATCGATTGATTGGTTGGTTGATTGATTGATTGATTTACAAGTAGAAATCATTCCATTATGTTGCTTTTTAAAGCCTTTGGACAGATAACAGAGTCTTACTCAAGAACCTTTTCGGTCCACAATGGAGACAGACTTTTCTTAAGGTGCACTCATAGAGAACTGAGCAGGATTTCCCCCATAGAGAGATTAATATGGTTCAAAGATAGTGTCGCGATCCCAGCATCAGATCCGCGGCTTAATTCGGAAAATGGCACCCTGACAATCGAACAAGTCCGTAAAAGTGATGCAGGCACGTACCGTTGTGAACTGAAAACGTTAGACATCTTGAGCAACAGCAGCACGACAATAAATGTTATAGGTAAGCTACTGAATCTCAATTTCCTTTTAAGCCCTCATATCCTATAAGCCTCGCACCTCTCTAACACGCACACCTATCGTTGGTCTATAGACTCCTTCAGTCATCTTCTTTGTCTCTCCAGTAACTCTCGACAAGGCGGACATTTCCTTAAAGGGAACACCTCAAGATACTCCCTGCCATCTTTCAGCCATCTTCTTTGCCTCTCTATAAGCCCGATGTATTTTCTAAGATTTCAAGAGATTTTTTCCCAGAGACGGAGTTGACTGTTTAAGGATTAAGTAAGGATTATCTCCTGATGAAGTATTCTACAGCAATCAGAAAAGGACTTTGGCTGATGATTACAACTACCACACTGAGTAAAGTAAAAAGGTCTTATAATGAATTTAAGAGGGGCTGAAAAGAGATTTTAATAAAAACTTCTCCTACAATATAAGTTAAATCAAAAGGAAACCGCACTCCGGTTATATTCCTTAAAGTGTTATTTTTCATCTCTCTCACAGGAATGGACCCATTCAATCCAAGCAACGTTACACATACGGTTATAAATATCAGTAGCAGTCCTCCACCACCAACAACATCGTACAACAAGATTGCATCGTTACAAAAAGAGGTTTGTTTGCAAAGTGGCCTACCCAAATGTAAAATGATTACTGGCTAACATAATACACTGTACGAGCTTTTTTTTCCAAATTCCAGTCACTGTGGTTTTAGTTTGTTTATGCTTTAAAACTGCGATATAAGCAAAGGTCTGCTCGACTACACCAAAATTAGCACAGCTTACATGATGTACTATCAGACAGTACCAACAGCGGTTCTAACTGTACTGTGGCAGTGCTAAATAGATTTGCTGTTCATAATTATTGTTTATTTCTCTTTTAACTTTGTTATTCTCTTTTCTAGGTCAACGTTATCAGTAGCAATCCTCCACCACCAACAACATCGTACAACACGATTGCATCGTTACAAAAAGAGGTTTGTTTGCAAAGTGGCCTACCCAAATGTAAAATGATTACTGGCTAACATAATACACTGTACGAGCTTTTTTTCCAAATTCCAGTCACTGTGGTTTTAGTTTGTTTATGCTTTAAAACTGCGGAATAAGCAAAGGTCTGCTCGACTACACCAAAATTAGCACAGCTTACATGATGTACTATCAGTCAGTACCAACAGCGGTTCTAAATGTACTGTGGCAGTGCTAAATAGATTTGCTGTTCATAATTATTGCTTATTTCTCTTCTAACTTTGTTATTCTCTTTTCTAGGTCAACGTTAACAGTAGCAGTCCTCCACCACCAACAACATCGTACAACAAGATTGCATTGTTACAAAAAGAGGTTTGTATAGGACACGTCATGCTGTATAGTCAAACCTGTTTGATGCGGTCACTGTTGGGGAACGGCCAACCGCCCCCTGAGTTAATACAGGTTAATACAGGTCTGACAAACAGAAGAGTTACCTTATCAAGAAAATAAAGATGTCAACAAAGCGAAATTTTTTCGTCAGGCGACAAATTTACCTCAAAGTGTTTCTACCTCTTCTTTTGCCAAAAGAAAAGGAGTAAGGGATCACTCGGCTATTGTGCCATGCACAATGTATATATATATAGCACTAGTAGTGTGGTTCGCCTTCGTTGACAAAATGGTCAGTAGGCCGCGCGTAAAAGTAGTATCCACTGTCATCAGCACGAAGATATTGAGAGTCCTTTGTATATCAAGCGAATCATCTTTCTATTTTTTTCCCAATCTAGATTGACGAACTATCGAATGGGAATTCCTCGGTAAATGTAAGCAGTTTTATAAAAAGTTTCGCAAACGCAACAAAATCAGGAAATGAAATCACACGCACTGCAAAAGGATTGTCAGCTTCAGTGAAGATCCTAGTTCAACTTGTAAACTATAATTCATTGGTGAACAACAGTGCAGTTAATACGACAACAGACCAGCAAAATATTGTACAAGTAGCAAGTAATCTTCTGGAGGAAGAAAATACCCCCACTTGGTTATTTCTGGAAGAGGTATGTGATGTTTTTTTAGTTATTTAAAACACTGGAGCAGCTATTTTCTAGCCTTCGTCGCAGACTTAAGGGACAATGTATTAGGAAGGGTGGCTGAAAAATGAGCTTGACATAGAGTGATATTAAGTAGCGCTTCCTCGCAAAAACACAAGTTAGCCGGCTCTGACTGTGCAGGCTAATATTTTCAAGAAATTACTCTTACTACGGTTTGTTTACAAATTCTTAGAGTGGCAGTAATGTAACGGATAACCTTTTAAAGGCAATGGACGACTTTGGTTCGCAAGTTGGTAGCCAGCTAGACGCGGGTTTGGACAACTCATCTAACGTGACAATCTATACTCGGAACATTGTTTTTAGGGTGGATCTCTTAAAAACTGCAAAAAAGGTAAAATGAATAAAGTAGTCTAGTTTGGAGTTAAAAATTACCACTGAATACAAATATTAACGACACATTCATACAGGGTTAGTCAGTGTAGTGTTTGAAAATACACAATAGACAGAGTAATAAACAGGTCTTCGTCTCTTTGGAATTTGTAAATATATTTACTTCAGATGGAGTCTAAGCCTGTAAAATTTGCGTCTTATTCACTTCTTTTATTCAGCGGTCAAAGCGATCTCAAAACTGGACTATGAGTCATGGACTAGAATTACTTTTAGCCTTTGAGGAGCAAGAGTGGAGAAGTGGTGAGAGCATTCGGCTCCCACCAATGTGGCCCCGGTTTGAATCCCGGAGTACAAGCCATATATGGGTTGAGTTTGTTGTTGGCTCTCTCCCTTGCTCCAAGAGGTTTTTCATCGGGTACTCCGGTTTTCCCCTGTCCTCAAAAACCAACACTTAATTCCAATTCGATCTGGAACGCACGGACGCGTTTAAACGAGTTCATAAAACTCTAAGTGCTTCGCCGTTTTCGTTTCCGTTTTAGGCCATTTCCGAGTTTCCCCGGGCTTCTGTATCAAAACGAGGTTAAGTGCTCAGTCCTGTTATGGAAATGATTTTTTTTCATTCTCATGCAAATAAAACTCATTGTCACAAGAAAGGTTGTGCACTTGACCTCATTTTGAAAGTGAGGGTTTTTGGAACTCGGAAGAGGCCTATTACAAATTACAAATTTGTATCATTCTACATTTGAAGTAATATATCAAACATGAGATGCAGTGTTTCATCACCAGATGAAACACCGAGAAGAGAGTTGAAAATACGACGCGCAGCGGAGTATTTTTGACGAACTTCGAGGTGTTTCATCTGGTGATGAAACACTGTGTCGAATGTTTGATATTTCTTCGCAAACAAAATCATTTTTGAAGGAGAAATTAAGGATGCAAATGCTAAGCAGTGTTTCATCCGATTTCCAAACACTCATTAAACATTAATTTCCTTTGTATTTTCTTAATGAATTATTAATGAGTTTGAGAACAAGAGAGAACATTCTCTCTTGATTGGAAACATTATATTCTCCTGTTTGGAAACATTATTGGTCCTCTGTTTGGAGCAACACCACCCAATCTAATCTGGACAAACTCCAAGCTGTACATAATTTCGCCTGTAGAATTGTGAGCGGGGCTGGAAAATCTGATCACATCACTCCCTTGTTAAAGGACTTGTGCTGGCTCTCAGTCAAGCAACAGTTATATTTTCGACTTGCTGTTTTAGTATTTGAGTTCATGACTGGGTATGCTCCAGCGTACTTAAAATCAAAGTTCGTAAAAAGATCGGCCGTTTCGACAAGGACAACCAGGAACTCGAAAATGTTGAGAAGCCAGTCTTCCGCACTGCTAATGGCCAAAGGTCCTTCGAATATAGAGCGACGTCCCTTTGGAATAAAAGAGCTCAAGCTAAGCGAATCCGTTAAACGTTTTAAGCGTCAACGACTTCTTCTGGACGCCTCTTTTAGTTTGTTAATTATTTTTCGTGTTATTATTACAACTGCAACGTTGACTCTGAAAAGCCCCGTGGAGACGAGGCAATAAATATGTATATATGTATATTTATAATGTTCTCCAATCTCTGTGCGTGGATTAGAATTTTTAATTTTTTTAATATAATTAAAACTTTGTTCTTCTCCTTGATCGCGCCTTGAGTTGTTACTGGTATGGTGGCCAATTTGTTAAGCCCTTTTTTTAATGCAAATTCTGCGCAATAAAATTTCTATAACTAATTGTCTTAACTTCCAACATGGCCGCCTTCCTACTCACATGGTTCTAGACCAAAACTCTACAAGAGAGACGTATTGACTCCTAATCAGTCAAAACTCCTGAATGATAATCACAAAGCTCCCATTTTCATGTCTCAACCGTTGTCAAAAACCAACTGTATTGTCATGGTTTCGTTCACATAACTTTTAAAATTAGTTCTTCGTTGCATTATCTCTTGAGAGGAAAACCCCAATTCTGCATTCATATTTCATTTTCTTTTCAGCTCAGCATGGACTTCTCCCAGCACGGCGCAGAGATATTTGTTCCTGGTGAAGTGTTCGCCTCAAATTCAGCAACTAAAGCGTCCACCATTGTCTACAAGACTCTCAACAATATCTTAACACTTAAAAAGGAAGATGCAAAGAACGAAGAAAAGAATGGAAAGACAAAATTCAAGAGTGGCTCAAACATTGTTTCTGCCACAATTCTTCCGCGTCCTGTCAGCCCGATGAGAAAACCAATCAAGTTTGTTTTTCATCACAAGAACAAGGCAAGTTATCAGACAGCAAAAACCTGAGAAAAGATGTCATTTTTATGTCCTTTATCCGCAAGTCCTTGAGTCCAAGCGGTGGCTTTAATTTATTTATTGTTTATCACTTTTTCCATCATTTTTAACACCCTAGCACAAATCCAACTGGCAGTTTCCTTTCTTCACCTTTTCTCGGCTTCTATCCGGTGTGCATAAAGATGGAAAATGGATGATATAACTGATCAGGAAGTAAACTGTCTTTTTGATTACAGAGTGAAGATGTTATTGGAAGCTGTGTATTCTGGCAAATAGGACTTCCGCAGAGAACGTGGTTAACGCGTGGATGCGTGCGTGTGGAACACGAATCAAGTGCGCGAGTAACCACATGCGAGTGTGATCACCTGACGGTCTTTGCAGTGTTAATGAACAACAAACCGGTAAAAACAATTATTTTGTATTCCCTGTAACTCCCAGAATATGAGTAAATAAAAATATTTATATTGCAGCTTTTTTGCTGAAACTGGACCCATATTAACGGGCTTGCCCTGAGAAATTCAGTTATATCATCATTTATCTTTTTTTCATTAACGTAGTCTACTACATTTCATTCACGATTATACCCTGCTGGTTCTTTCTGGGGACGAGTTTGTGTCACAGTGAAGCCCAGACCAACGGTTACAGGCTGTGACCTTGCAGCTCAGCCAATTGAACGCCTTGAGCTGATCGAAGGTTTTTGGCAAAGTGGCCTACCCAAATGTAAAATGATTACTGGCTAACATAATACACTGCACGAGCTTTTTTTCCAAATTCCAGTCACTGTGGTTTTAGTTTGTTCATGCTTTAAAACTGCGGAATAAGCAAAGGTCTGCTCGACTCAGGGGCACCCAATGGATCTGTTCCTCAAAATATCTGTTCTTTAGGCAGATTTTTGCTGGCTGGGAGATGTGAAAGAAATAATAGTCCTTGGAAGGAAAGTGTTGCTGGGAAAAAGATAATTCAGGGTGTCAGAGGGGATTTGAAGTCTAGAATAGCTGCTACGGTTTATGGGTTACTTACCACTCAAGATCTGAATTGACCACTCCAGAAATACCATAACATACCATAATGTTCTTTGTTTGTCACCCCAAAATTTTGCATGAGCATTGTTTTCAGTTTCTCTTGGGGCCATTTTAACTCCCAAGAGAAACTGAAGACAATGCTTATGCAAAACTTTGGGGCGACAATCAAAAAGCATTATGGTATGTTATGGTATTTTCTGGAGTGGCCAATTGTGCCCTATGAAACTTCCCAGTAAGTCAGGTTGCAGGTTGTAAGGTTGCTGGGTGGGAACTTTTTCATCAATCTTGCTGGGAGTAAGGAACAGATAATTTTTTTTCCAGCTATCTCCCAAAATGCTTAAAATAGTCTGAGAAAACTTTATTCACGCTTTGTTGTTGTTTTTAGGTCTTTTTCTCAAAATTTCCCGTTGGGTGCCCCTGTCGACTACACCAAAATTAGTACAGGTTACATGACGT